GTTTATTTTGAATTTAATAAACTAAACGTTCACCAAAAAACTTTATTGAGAAAAATCGAAAAAACGAACTACAAACATATCAACGCCAAACATTTGGTAGAATTTATAGAATATTGTAAAAATTATGGTCTATTACCAACATATATACACACACACACACACACACACACAAAAACACATATATGTATATTTACTGGTAGAAGACCAAATTCTTGACAATATGTGATAAACTCCACCAATTTATTAGTGTTTATCAACTTATATTCGAATTTTTCAATTTGTCTTCCTACATTTTTATCAACAAAAGTGGTATATATATATATTGGGTTGTTTAAAAATATCACAGCTTTGCAGGCAGTGTTCAATTTACGATTGAGTTTTTCATACTACGAATTTCAGTACTTTATCAAGTTTGTTCAGTGCATTTTCATTTATATACATCAGTAATGGGCAAACTTTTTGCTGTGAGGGCCGCATTGAAAACTATTTGACCTTTCGATGGCCGCATATGTACATTTATCGACCGTTAATAGGGGAGGGAAAATTTTTTAACATGTTCATCATGATCATTTAATTCTTTTTTTGGTTATGATATCTTGCTGACGACCTTTTCTTGGGAATTTCATTTATAATTTCTTTTTTCAAAAATGTTTAAAACGCCTCGCGGGCTGCATAAAAAGGCTTCACGAGCCGTAGTTTGCTCACCCCTTGGTGTATTTATGTTATAATCTACACCAGGGTACATTAGGATATAAATAGTTTTTTTGACAATTATTTGCCATCATCAGTGTTTAATGCTGTTTTGGTTTCATGCGTTTGTTTATACTTATTAGAATATTAGTCTTGTCGTAGATTTGTGATAGCTTACATAACATAATATCAGGATCGTAGCCTTAGCCGAAGACCGGTTTGCTCACCCTAAAATTTCATAAATAATTAATACATTTTTAAAATAATAAATAATTTTAAAATAAGCTATACATTTTATTTAAACTACATCTACTAATTTATTATAAATATTTGCTTTTGTACTGATTTTTTCATAAATTTCAAATTTTGCAGATTTTTCTGTAAAAATTTTCTTTTTTGAAAACGTACTTTTACGATTTATCATTGCTCCGCGTTTTGTCGTCTGTCTAACTTACTAAAGCATTTAAAATGGATCACTCCGTAAGAAAAACGAATCGTAAACGTGAAGCCAATTCAACTTTTCCAAGAGCCAGCCCGTTGATCATGGAGGCGACATAAAAACAAATTTTGCTTTTTTTGATATCGGCATGAAAATTAAAGTTGTTAGAAGTGACGATCTAGCAATCAAACAAATTAATATTATTTTTTTTATTATTTTAAAAAAAAATCAAGATCTGACAGACGCAGAAACTGTTACAGCATGCATGGAAATAGTGTAAAATTGTAACGAAAAAATAAATAAATAATTAAAAAACGGAGAAAAAATGTTTAAACATGAAAAGTATTGAAAATAAAATGAAATAATGGCACAAAAAGGCAAATTAATAAAGTAATTTATTGATGGACTAGATAATGCCTTAGTGGGTTAGTGAGGTGATCGATAAGTTAAAAAAAATTAGATTGTGTAAATGATAAAGTTTTATTGAGTGCTAATATATTTAAGGTGTCTTGTGATGAAGGTTTTATCCTGATATATTGACTGATGGAACAGTTTGTTTCAGGCGCAGTGGTAGATCGTTCCAAATTTTTGGCAAAGCAACTTGCATACATCTATCAACCAGCTTCGTCTTAGTTTAGGAGACTACCATCAGACTATGTCCCTTGTCTAGCTCAGATTTTTTACGAAAAACCTCCTTCAAGTATTCTGGTCCAATTATTATCATTGTTACTAATATTTAACAGAAAAAAATATAAAGTATGAAATGAAGTCATTTTTAAAGTTGCCAAACCTGAAAAAAAATTGCCTCACTACTCAAACCTGGCTATGGGCCTGCTGTTTATATACGTTTAGAATGACTTTGTTACTGTGTCTTTACTAATTGACTTTGCCCGACTTCTGACTTTGTTATTGAGTGTCTTCACTAAGGCACTTTGTTCGGCTTCTGTAACTAGTTTGCTACTGTGGTCTTACCGACTAACAAAGTAATAAGCTGAACAACGTCACTTAGTGGAGACACACAGTAACAAAGTCATACTAAAACTATAGAAAAAGACACATAAAACCAAAACCGTATTCAACACTGATGATAAAAGCTTTTTATGTTATAATGTACATAAACGATAATGCATTGAACAAAATTGATAATGATCTGAAATTCGTCGTACGAAAAATTGAAAAACTCAATTGCAAATTGAACAATGCCTGCAATGCTGATATTTTTAAACAAACGCGCGCACACACACACACAAACACACGTATATATATATATATATGTGTGTGTGTGTGTGTGTGTCTGTATTAAGTAATGAAATTAACTAATGAATATATAAGATTCATTTATATAATTAAGTATTATTAGATAGAAGCGTTCGGAACGAAGTGCTACAAAAATGATTAGGCATCTGCAAAAAAAAGGTGATAAAAAAAATCATAAGAAACCAACTTGAAATACAAAAGTTTGATTTTGCGGAATGCATTTGTAGTGTCTGATAAAAGATTAATTAATCTTGTACTAATGCGAGAGAAAAATTAGAAGAAAGTAAGTAATAAGATGCCAAGAAATGGATAGATGACATTAAAAAACGTAAATTCGAAAAATTGGCCAAACATTGAAACAAATTTAGGAAATCTACAAAAAAAATTAACGGCCCCTTAAAAAATTAAAAAGGACCATTAAGTCAATGACTGAATGATTGACAAAAAGTGTATGACTTCAAATGAAAAATTTTGAAACGAATATAATAAATTTTGTTTACTAAAATGTCTACAAAACGAAGTTTTCAATAAGAATTTGAACATGTACATGACATCTTTGTCTTATTATTAAACAGATGCTTAAATAAGACTAAGTCTATTTAGCATAGCGCATACATATGGTGAAGTTAGTTGATATGCCTCACCTCAATTTGTTTTGGTTTAAGTAGCTACAGCTCCACTCTATATCTACGGTAAAATTACATATGAGGCAATTCATTTGATTACTATAAAAAGATGGCTGTCGGCATTTGATGTTCGATAACAAAGAGTTAATGATTGGTTTTCGATAATGTTTATTTAATTATTCAATGTATTGTGTTGGTGTTTTGATAAATGAATTTTGTGTGCTATAAAGAATTTGGTGAGTTATTGAGGTTGCATGTGTCGATTGTGAGATTTGATGACTCCTCTTTGCTCCTCCTCCCCATGGACAAGCGCACCTAATTGACACCAATAAACCCGAAATAAACATCCAACAAAGAATGATTACATCATTAACAACTCGACGCCTCAATACTAACTCCAAGAAAAATAAGAAACAAAGAAATGACGCCAACAATGAAGATGAAAAATAAAACACCAATAATTGACTGACTTTGCTTCGTCTAAAGAATATGTGAATTTTGATAATAACAGTTCTATTTTTAATAAATTTGCAGATGAATTTGGATAATAATTCTATTTTCATTATTTCCAGTCTAAACCTTAAATTTAATTATATATATATATATATATATACATATATATATATACGTTCAGTACTGGCCAACCGTACCTACAGAATTAGAGACCTGCATAATTAGTGTGTCGATTTGAATTTACAAGTACGTGAGAAGGTTGAGAGTTTCCGACCTACTTCTGCAGGTACGGTTGGCCAGTACTATAAGTACTACCCTATATATATATATATATATATATATATATATATATATATATATATATATATATATATTGTTGGGTTGCAATGGACTCTATATTATATATATATTATTCGTTATAGTAGACATTATTTATTTTCACAAATTTTCTAGATATCAGTCAGTAGCAATGGAAGATTTGTATGGCCAACCGAGGGTTTAGGCATAGGTTTTGATGTTGATATTAGTGTATGAACACATCTCATGTGAAATATTATATATCGACTGTTCAGTTCACATGCTTTAACATGGTTCTGACTTTCTGTGTACAAACATACACAATATTCATTTTTATGTATGAACATACATCCATAAATTTCTTATTCATAAAATATATATATATAAATATATTGTATATATACGATACTATGAAATAGTGTATAAATACGGTAAAAGAATATTTAAAACTTGGTAACGACAACTATTTTTCTATGTTATTCTGTTATCTAACACTGGTTTCAGGTTCTATGTTTCATGATCAGAAATGAGCAAAAATATTGTGGTCGTATTGTCTTCGTATTCGTACTTCCGAAAGTTTTCATGCATCTTACTATCAAAAGTCATAATGCTAATTTGAGTTTCATCTTTTTAACACGAGTTGCAAAAAAGATTTTGTCAGGGTTATTTTGTTCAGTAGTTTTAACAGATAAGAAATAGAATAAGTAGAAATAGTACAAGCAGTGAAATTTCATAAACTGAATAAAAAATAACGTACTTCACAATTAACCAATGACATTTTTTTTTTGAAGACAATATTAAATTTGCAGTGTTGCATTATAGTATTAATAGAAAAGATTATCTGTTCATGTTTGAAAAAAAATTAATTTGCCCACGTTGAAACGCTAGAAAATGAAAAAGTCAAATTTATTGCTTTTAGTTTCAGGCAGGTTTTACCATAATTGGTTTAGAATGACTATAATTCAAAACTTTAAATTAATAAGCTGTACTCAGTTTGATAAATATACAAAAAAATTTGAGAGAAATTTAACGACCACACCGTGCATTTGAAATAATTGACATTGTGATCATTTTGATTGAAATTTTATGTGAATAAATATTTGGACATCTTTCATGCACAGGCTGAAAAAAGTGCAACAAAATAAAAATAAGTAGCAAATAATGATGATGACCAGTCACAGAACTAATGATAACAACAACCATAGAATTATTAATCATTATGAAAATGATTGAAACGAACTATCATTTTGTATCCGATAACAAAAAATTAGAAATGAATGAGTGAAGACTAGCTTTAGATAAATTAATGTTTACTAAAGAAGAAATATGCAAAAATACAAATCCACCAAATTCATAAGTACAAATCTACGTGTACAAATTTCAAGCAAGTAGTACATATTTTATAAATTTTAGTTTTTTTAGGCAAATAATCTATTATAAAATTTTTGTGTTTTTAAGCAGATTCTATCAAATAAAATTGAAATTTTGGTAATTTGTTATTCATTAAACTCGAATATTTTGGCATTGGCCTGTTTGCGCACACATAGTATGCGTACCAATTTTTGCACTTTTTGCGTCCTAGTAATGAAAATGGTCGTATGTTATCTATGCAATGATAACCTTGAGAGAACAAATTTACTAAGCTGTCGTTTTAACGAGCTAGGTGTTCACTATAATGCGCTTTTGGTCGTAGTGAGGATGGTGTAAGTTAATAACTTGTACTGGCTGACCGTATCTGCATGGGCAGGTCTACAATGTTCACCCATTTATATATATATAATATATATATATATATATATATATATATATATATATATATAATTATATATATATATACAAGTGCATAAAAATGCATACTCATGTTATATATGTTTATAGCTGCACAGTGCATATTCAGCGTCAAACTTTAAAATGTAAAATACGTACGATACAAATTACGAATGAAGTCACAAAGAATTTAAATTTTTTTATATTGTACCTACTGTGACTTCATCACTAGCGAAAATTTATGTAACATCACGCATTTTGTCTTAATTTAAATATATTCATGCTTCTCTTTACTTAGGTTTTATTCAAACAAATCGACCATTTAATGATTTTTCATATGCAGAAAAATTTAAGAACCAAATGAACTAAAAAATATTGAGCCAACTGTGAAATAACTATTTTTTAAATTTTCTGGTTTAAAGTTGTCTAGGAATAAAATACAATGTTTTTATTAGGAAAAGGAAATAGAATGAAGTAAATTGAAATAATAAAAATACTAATATGAGCATTTATATAGCGCCAATTTGCTTCAGAGATGCCTGGAGCCTGTATTTAAAAGATGAGTCTTTACACCTTTTTAAAGACGCTCAACGAGGGACATTGTCCCAATTCGAGAGGTAACGCATTGCAGAAACTTGGAGCGGCGTGGTGAAAGCCGCTGCTAACGAGGTGGGATTTGGCAATAGGAATGGCATGTTCGTGGCGAGATATGAGACCGTAAAGCTAAGCTGAGGATTTTGATGACTATGTTTTGAAGGTTAGAAATGCGATATTAATTTTATTAGACTTTAATTTCACGTCAGTTGAATATTTTTATATTGTTAAATTTGAAGCAGCCTTTAACAAACCTTAAAATATGGTGTTATCAAATTAAGGAAATATTTGCTCATTAACAAAATGTGCACAAAATGTTTAGTAATAATAAAGTTTATTATGTTTTTTCTTACAATTCTTACAATTAAATCATATCAACTGCTAATATTTAACAGCCACATCACATAACGCAACATACAGACGCGAAAGCATTATTTGCTATTGATATTATAATTATTGTAATGCAACTACATACACCACGACAACAACAACAACTGTGCCAAATACTTCTACAAGAACATAGAGAAAGATTGGAGAAGGACAATACTGAATGTTTATTATTGCAGTGAACAACGATCGGATGCCTCCGAAACGGATGCCATAATTCGGCCAGGAAGTTGAGAGACACGCGCTGTCAACTCGTTCAACGTTTTTGGAAATCCATTCTCGTCTGTGAAAAAAATTGTATCCATAAATAACATTTTTGTCAATTTAAACATTATCAATTTGTCAACGCTAATTCGTCAAGTTTTAAAATTTATAGGTATGTCAGTATACAAAATATTAAGTTGAAATGTTGCATATATAGAACACAACAATTCCCATTTTTAATTTTTATAATAATCTAATGATCTGTGCTTTCAAAATAAAAATAATGACAAACAGTTAATTCTTTTTGTCTGTTTTATTTCCCTTAAATTTTCGCACAAATAGGCTTGCATGGCAATAAGGGGTGGTGCATCAGTGATGCTTAATAATAGAACATATATGTAATATGCTAATTACCTCTTAGTACTTATGCTAATTACACCTTAGGGCAATATGCAATTATTATGAAATGCACTTATTAAAACGAAATGGCCTATATAATTTCTTATATATATTTTATTTTATATAATTTATTCTATATATTTCATTCTAAATATATGCTTGGCAACAAAACGAAAATTCGTTAAAAAATGATGCAAGTTCGTTAAAAAAGATGCTGCAAATTACTTGTTGCAGAACATTCAGAGACATCTGCAGTCCCATCGGCATCCGGATCTTCTGGATTTTTTTTCTTCCTTCCTAACCTACCCTCCAATGACGGATCATTTCCTGCTGGCTCATTTGTTTCTTTCTTCTTAATGTTGTACTGTTTCAAAAAAGAAAACAAAAATAGTTGAAGTATGAAGATGTATTTAGTTAAAAAATTTTATTCTCACGTAAAAACATCGTTTGCAAAAGTTATTAAATTTATTATTGCGTTTGTTAATTAATTAATTATAAATTGAATGTACAAAGTACGTTGCAGATTTGAAAGAATCTCAATAATCTTCACAATTTACAGGTGCATTTCCTCAGCCTTTAACTCGAAAATGGAGCTGAAATTGGGTGTGTAATTAGTGCTCTGTTAGTGCCGGTTAGTACCGTATTTATTTTCGTTAGTGCTGTGCCAATATGTTAGTGCTGGTCACTCTTAAGATGTGTGGCTGGGGGGGGCTCGGGGAATGGTAGCCTCCCCAAATCAAATCAAATCAAATTTTATTCAATCAATCCAAATTAATAATAATTAGGTAATGATTAGGAGACCAAAGCTAAAAAAAAACAAAATTCTTGTGTCGCAGGCCACCGTTCACAAATTGTTCATTCTAACACAATTTTTAAGTAAATTTATAATTCATGACAAAATTAACATAATGCACAATTTACATGATTCTAATTAAATAAAAATTGTACTTTTTTTCAATAAATATTTCTTTATTTTGTTTTTAAACAAATGCAAGGAATTTGTAGTCTTTATATCAACAGTAAGTTTTTCCCAGATTCCGGGACCGGTATGTTTTAAACTTCCACCAAGCAGTGTTATTCTTGCAGGTGATGTATAGAGCAGAGAATGTCGAGTAAACTTTGACTGCACAGCATTTCCGAATTCGAAGAAGTCATTAAAAGATGTTGGTAATTGATAATGTAGGAACTTGAACACAAAGATAGAAACATGATAATTATACAAATTTTTTATGTTTAAAATTTTCAGTTCAGGATAATAACAGCTGACATGACTATATGGATGTAGATTTAATAGAATTTTGATGAAACGATTTTGACATCTGGTAATTTGTTTCAGGTGAACTTCAGGGCTGTTTCCCCAGATGATGTTGCAGTATATTAGATGTGGATAGATTAATAAATAATACAAATCTATAATTATTGGTTTATTCAATCTTACTTTAATTTTATTAATTACGCCTATGGTTTTATTAATTTTTTTCGATAACGAGTCTATATGCATATCCCACGAGAGGTTGTCCTTGATTATCACTCCGAGAAATTTTGTGCTGGATGTACGCGGGATGCTATGGTTATTCATTTTTATATCTGAATTAGGTATTGTGTTAGTCAATATTTTTGGACCGAATAGAATGTAGTTGCATTTAGAAAAATTTACAATTAGTTTATTATTGATGAACCAATTTGAAACATCATCTAAACTTTTATTAATTATCTCTACATCGTTTGATGGATTGCTAGTTGGGAAGAAAATGTTAGTATCATCTGCATACAGAAGATGATGAGCGTCAGTAGCCATATGAAAATCATTCATAAAAATTATAAATAGAAGTGGGCCTAAGATTGATCCTTGCGGGACTCCTGAAGTTATATTTTATTTATTTGAAGATTTATTTTTTATCGACACATACTGATTTCTGTTTTGCAGATAGCTTATGAAACATTTATGTGCTATTCCTCTTATTTCATAGGAGTATAATTTCTTTATTAATATCTCATGATTAATAACATCAAATGCCTTGGACAGGTCTATGAAAACACCTATGGTTAGGATTTTTTTATTCAGATTATCTAATATGTTTTGTACTAAATGTAGTACTGCTAGTTCAGTTGAATGTTGTGCTCTATATCCATATTGATTTTTATTTAATAAATTATTAATATTCAAGAATGAAGTTATTCTGATAAATATAATTTTTTCCAGTACTTTAGAAATAGGTGAGAGAAGGAATATTGGCCTGTAATTGGATCTTTTTTTATGAATAGGTATTATCTTGGATGTTTTGAAGCATTTTGGGAATATTCCTTGACTGATGGACAAATTGAATATATGTGTTATTAGATGTACAATTTCTGAGATGATTTGTTTTAAGAGATAATTACTTAATGAGTCATCAGAGGTGCTTTTTTTATTGCTAAGATTCTTGATGACTGTTAAAACCTCAAGTTCATCAGTGGAGTTAATGTATATGGATTTACAAATGTAGTTGTTTATTTTTGAAGATTCATTAACTGTTTGATTTTCAAGCAAATTTTCAGTAATTTTAATAAAATATTCATTTGAAATAGTTACACATTTCTTCTGCATTATCAATTATGTTATTGTTGACTTTTATTTTATTGATATCATTCAACTGATATGCTGATAACATGGAAGAATTGCAGTTAAAATTTGACAGATGGAAAAGTGTTATTGAAAAGAAAGGGTTAAAAGTTAATATTGGTAAGACGAAGGTAATGGTGAGTGGGGAAGGTGGGGAGCGAGTGATAAGTAAAATAGACCCCTGTGGGGTATGTGACAGGAGAGTGAAGGCTAACTCGGTATTGTGTATAGGATGTCAGAAATGGGTGCATAAGAGATGTAGTGGTGTGAGGGGGGCACTGAAAAAGGTGGAAGGCACGTTCAAATGTAAGAAATGTGTTCATGGTGTGATCAATAGGACGGACGCAAGGACGGGGCTGAGTGGTGGTATTGAAAGAGTGGAAAGCTTTGCTTACTTAGGGGATAAGCTGAACGCGGATGGAGGATGTTTGAGCGCAGTTACGGCTAGAGTTCGTGTAGGATGGATGAAATTTAGGGAACTGGGTGGGGTATTGTGTGGAAAGAAATGGTCAGTGAAGGTGAAAGGGAGGGTATATAAAGCATGTGTGAGAGCAGCGATGGTATATGGTGGTGAAACTTGGGTGTTGAGGAGAGAGGAGGAAAGTGTACTGCAGAGAGCTGAAAGAGCTATGGTGAGGATGATGTGTGGGGTTAAAGTGAAGGATAGGAGGAGTAGTACAGAGCTGATGTCAATGATGGGACTGAATGAGGACATTGATAAGGAGATCGAGATTGCGGTGGTATGGACATGTGTTGAGAAGGGATGAAAGGGTCGGGATTAGGCGAGCGTTGGAGTTCGAGGTTGAAGGTGTGGCGAGTGACAGATGTGGATGGCGTCGAGGGGTATTTCGGTTTCATCATAGGTAGCCAAACGGCAACCCCCGATCTCGGGGAAAATGTTGTCTAAACGTGCGTTGTTGTTTGTTTGTTGATATCATTCAACTGTTGATTTTTATTCATTATACCATTTGTTATCTCCCACTTTTTTTTTGAACAGCTTTTTGCATCATTAAATCTTTGACTAAAGTAATTTTTTTCTTCCTTTCGTTTAAATGATGTAAAATAATTTCTGAATCGCTTATATTTATTTATATTCTCTGTAGTAGGTGTTGAAATTGTTTTTTTTATAGAGTTTATTCTGTTTCTTTGATAATTTAATTATTTCATCACTTACCCATGGCTTTTTATTTTTCCGTTTCAGCGGTTGCAATGGGGCGTAAATATCAAGAATTCTATTTAATTGATTATAAAAATTCATGCAACAGGTGTCAATGTTACTCTCATCCGTTATTGAATCCCATTTTTCAGAAGATAGAGCTTCCTTAATTAGGGAAATGTTTCTCTTATTTATGTTCCTTTTCAAAGTCAGAGTATCTGTAGTGACAAATCCTGTATTTTCTACAACTGTATAAATTGGATAATGATCTGAAAAGTCTGATATTATTATTCAATTATAACATTGTTGATTTAAGTTAAAAAATATATTATCTATTAGTGAAATTGAGTTATTAGTTATCCTAGTTGGTAAATCAATCAAAGGTAAGAAGTAATGCGACAAAAGTAAATTTTGAAAATCTTGGGAGGTTTTATCCATTAGATTAATGTTAAAATCTCCGACAATGAAAATTTTATCAAGTGGATTTAGACTATTTAGTATCGATTCAATTTTTTCTAAAAAAGACTCATATTTATAACTAGGTGGTCGATAGATGGCAATTATCTTGATCATGTTATGTAGTGAGGCTTGATGCAATTCAAATTCCACGCAAAGTATGTCAACGTTGTCATCATCGAATATGTTGCTTTCATTTACAACATATTTTACATCATCTTTTATAAACATTCCAACACCGCCTCCACGTCTATTTATTCTATTCTATACTATTTCTTCTATTATATTTGTATACGAAATTGTAATTATTTAATTTAATTAAATCAGCCATTTCATCGTTTAACCAACTCTCAGATATTACAATAATTTTGAAAATAAAATCAAATTGTTTCAACAAGATCTCCAGATTCAATAATTTGTGAAACAGACTACGAGCATTTAAATGTAATATTTAGATAAAATCACTGCCGATATGCTTTTGTAATTCTAACATATTTTTAGAAAATTCCTCAACAGTGTAATAATTTGAGTCGTTGTTACTGAGGTGTTTATCTGATATATTATTATTGCTTTGTGTGTTATTCATCATGTTTTTGTTTATTTATTACTGTTTATTAATTATTTTTGTTACTTCATTTTTACCATCAATGTTAATTTCATTTTTATTTTTTTTTTCAATATTATTATTTGGTTTGAAGACCCACACACGAATGATTGTGTCCTCATCCCAGAGAGCAGAATCTGTGAAAGTGCTATCTGAATTATTGATATCAATACATATTCTGAAGCCTTTTCCCAGATGAGACTTTGCCTCAAAACAACTGTTTACTTTAAATTTATTTGTTTTTAAGTATTCTGTCAAAGTTTCATTATTGACTGTGTCAGCAAGATTACTTACAAAGTAAACTTTTTTTTAACAATAGCGCCAGCTGATTTGGGACACATGCTAGTGCTGTTGGTTCCTCTAATGTTTTTAATTTGACGTTTTTTTTTCGAGACAATTGATGAAGGATTTTCTTGTTGAATTGCTGATGGAGACTGATGTTGCTGATGAGTAAGAGGTCCTAATGATGAGGAGGGATGTTGCTGATGTTGTTGTGCAGTTGGGGGTATTTGTATCCGAACAGCTGGATTTCTTGGGAGAGAACGAGGACTCTGAATCTCATTCAATTTAGGATTGACATTTTTTGCTGTCACCGCCGAGTAAAGCATATTATGTTTATTTATTCCTAAGCTGACTGTATTTAACTGTTCTTTTATTTCATGTAGCTGTTGTTGGATTTTTTCAACTTTGCTGTTTTCGTCATTCTGTTTTAAACCTGCAGCAAAGCATGGGACTTTTTTAAGTTTACTGCGGCATAAATAAATAATTTATATTCTAATTTATTCAAATAGACAAAATCGATAACTTGAAATATTTCCTGTATTTCGGCGTCCTTGGTGTTACCATGAAGAACAAGTTTCAATTTTTCACTTTCCAGCAGGCTTTCAACATGACTAATTAAAGATTTTTTTGATTTAACTAATTCTTTGACTGAGTAGAGTTGTTTTATGTTTTCCAACACTTTCAAATTTTCAGCTTCTACTCTGAAGTTAAACAGAAAGCACAATAAATCATCAGCAAATGCCACTAGAGACTTGAAATCTGCAATATCGTTAGTGTTATGTTTGTTATGTTAGTGTTTTTCAGTGCCGTAATAATAATTGTCAGTGCTAGTCCCCGATGGCTGGAGTTCGAAAAATGCTAGCCCCCCAAATGCCGCTAGAGTTAGCGATCTTTAGTACCCCTACAGTATTTTTTTCCCAAAAAAAGTTACATTATTTTTTAATTTTTAAACAGCAAATTCAAACGAATGCATATGAAACATTAATATCGGCTAAGGAGAACTTTATTTTCGTCTTTATACGCAAACTATATAATAACCATTGCCAAAGCATATATCAGGATTTCAAACCTGATGATATAGATATCGCCAGACACATTACCTCTGCCTAACAAACTCGATTCAGTAGAATAAAAACGCTCAACTTTTTGTGAAGCAATCAACTTTCTTGTAATAGGTTTTTGGCACGGCACTAAATGGCACTAACGTAGCACTTACGTTACCGCAAATTTCGAGTCTCTAGCGGCATTTTCGAAAAAGCATTTCCTTAGCCTCCCAGTCATATCTTTTTTGGGAGACCAGCACTAACGAAAATTAATACGGCATTAAACAGCACTTACGAGTGGCATTTAGGATGCTGGCATTTTCTGAGCCTCCCAACAATATTCCTTTTAGGGGACCAGCACTAACGAAAATTATAACGGCATTAAAGATCACTGACGTAGCACTAATGATACTGTGAATTTTAAGTCTCTAGCGGCATTTTGCGGCTAGATTGTCTCGATCAACTGTAATCCATACCGGGGATTAGCACTAACAAAGATAAAATACGGAACTAACGGAGCACTAACTCCGCACCCAATTTCAGTCCCATTTTTTAAGTTGGGGGCTGGGGAAATGCACCTAGAATTTACAAGAAATCATATTTTTAAATGTTTTAATAAAGTTCATGTAATTTGACGTAATAGAAACTAAATCGAAGGTGTAAACAAAAATACTTCATGAAGGCTATAATTTAATTTTTTAAATTAAATTTTTACTGAGAAAGTCAATATAATTCTGGCAGAGAGGCCAAAATTAAGCTGAAATGCCGTTAAATTATCAGAAACAAAGTTTCGCAAGTTAATTTGTTTATTAATTAAAATGTATAACTAATTAAATTATATGAAAAAAATACACATGAAATAAAAACTTGTATTATGTATGTATTGTGTGTACCTATAAAAGAGTTTTTTTTAACCATTTAAAATATTACAAAATTGATTTTTCACTAGTTTCAGAAAACGATTCATAACAATAAAACTTTGATGTGTATAAAACAAAACTGTATGCATTAAAAAATTAAATCAATGAATTACAAACTTAAAATTCAAGAACATTTAAAAATTTAAGATCAACGAACAAATTGAATTTAAAAAAATGCTCAAACGTGCTAATTCAATAAACGATCATTTAACGAACTTTGGTTCGAATGTCCTGCCTCATCTTTTCTCTCTCTTCTTCGATCTTCCTGTATTTTTCTTTCCTTTTCTCTTCTTCTTCTCTTTTTGCTTCCAATATTTCTGGATCTTCTTCATCATCACTTTTTTTTTCTTCCTTTTCTTTGTCACCGAGGGCACCTGTTATTAGAATGTGGAAGTGCAAAACGTTTACTGTGAAGCGTGAAGAGTTTTTTTTAACCATTTAAAATATTACAAAATTGATTTTTCACTAGTTTCAGAAAACGATTCATAACAATAAAACTTTGATGTGTATAAAACAAAACTGTATGCATTAAAAAATTAAATCAATGAATTACAAACTTAAAATTCAAGAACATTTAAAAATTTAAGATCAACGAACAAATTGAATTTAAAAAAATGCTCAAACGTGCTATAGATAGTTAGATAGTATTTAAGACGTTTGGTAATTTTTATTTTAACTATTGTTTATGGTTTTCGGAATTATTTAATTGATTTATTAATTGATTAATTATTAGTTAATTAATTAGTTATTAATTAAGTAACTTATATATTCAACGACAAAGTAGTTTTTTAGACTTGATAAATAATAATTTTGTTAAATAAAAATAAAATTATTTTTCAAAATGTGTTTTACGTTTCAAAATGTGTTTCAATGTGTTGATTTTTAAAATTTAACTATAAATATGTTTAATTATTTAATTTTATGTTCAATTTTTTGTTTAACCATATTTTAAAGCTACGTTACATTATTACACTATTATTATCAACATTCATAATTTTATCTGAATATTATTTTATATCTTCCTAATTTATCTCATTTCAATGATTTCAATATTTTAATATTATTCACAAAAATATTCAGCGCTGTCAGCTGACAAATTTTATTGATGTTTTGTATAAATACGAATTCAAAAAGCTACGTGGTGTTGAAGTTGTTATAAAAAAAAACTTTTGAACGCAGAGTGGGCATACATACTGTCAGAATTATGAAATAATACTGACTAAAAATACTTCAAAATTTTCAACGCGAAATTTATTCACTCGATAGGGGGCATGGTGCAAGTTAATTTACTCGATAGGTGACGACGATTTTTTTTGTTTTGCAATTTAGATGACGTCATAAATTAGTACAAATTAGTTTAAAAAAAATTAATTAGTAGTTTTTTTTTATTAATTGGACATACCTTGGAAATTTTTATGTTTAAAAACACCCGAAACAAAATCTAATTTTGCTTTGATAAGGAAGGGTGTGGAAGTGAAGAAAAGACTGGGAGGTTAACTAGTTAGGCAGCTTCGAATAATCGGTGCCTATTCTGGTCCCTCAGAGACTTAATTCGATACTCTATGCTCATTACCACGGAGACGTCTTAAGTTCTCGAAGAGAGTCAAGACTGGGAGGTTGACTAGTTAGGCAGCTTCGAATAATCGGTGCCTATCCTGGTCCCTCAGAGACTTAATTCGATACTCTATGCTCATTATCACGGAGACGTCTTAAGTTCTCGAAGAGAGTCGAAACTGGGTTGACTGGTTAGGCAGCTTCGAATAATCGGTGCCTATTCTGGTCCCTAAGAGACTTAATGCGTGATTCTGTGCTCATTGGCATAGTTTCAGAAACGTCTTAGGTTCTCAAAGAGTCAGCCTTGGGTTCACCAGTTAGGCAGCTTCGAGTAATCAGTGCATATTCTGGTATCTAAGAGACTTAATGCGTGATTCTATGCTCATTGGCATAGTTTCGCACGCGTACTAAAGTCACACAATTTGTTCCAGTGTTGTTCTGACTCTTGTTGTTTTGTGTTGGTTGTGCGAAAGCCGACCAGACTCGACGGCCCAGTGGAAACAGGCCAAGGTTGTGCGAAAGCCGACCGACTGACTGACAGGCCCAGTGAAAACAGGCCCTTGGTCGTGCGAAAGCCGATCAGACTCGACGGCCCAGTGAAAACAGGCCTTGGGTTCTGTGAAAACGAATCCGCCTTGTTGTTTTGTTTCTTGTGCTATTTGTGGACCTAGGGTTCTTTGCTGGATTCTATACTCATTGGTATAGTTTCACACGCAGCTTAGAATTTCCATAGGCTCCGATTTTTGTAAATCTTCCGCATTCATTTTATTTATTTCTTGGAGTTGTATCGACATCACCATCGGATACACACGTCGAGGTTGTACGGTTAAACGGCAAGAAACATATCCCAAGTCGAGGACCCAACAAGAAGAAGTTCTAATTCCTGTATTCCAGTTTGTTCATTGACATTTTACATTGTTATAGAGTTCATTAGTTCAATTCCTTTTTACTTACTTCCGTCGATTAATAAAATTGTTATCGAATATTTTCATGCGTTCGTGTGTTACTCAGTAAGATCATATAATTCGAAAAAGCCCAGTGCCACACAGGACTGGTCGAACTCACGATAAAAATATACACAAAAATTATTGTCGGACCATAAAAAAATTCCCTGAGAAAGATAGAGGAGGAGATTACCTACCTCACACCACCAGTTGTTTTAATTGTTTTCATTTATAAATTTCCGACAATTAGCGCCCAACGTGGGGCTTTGTCATCATTAAAAATTTCTTGTCATCATTTTTTTAAAATCTCCGACAATACATATATATATATTAGGGTGGTTCACATTTGAATGGGGAAAAAATTTTTTTGTCTGATTTGAGTGCACACCCTCTGAAAAGTTTCCATTGGGTCCTAAAAACTTACAAACCAAAAATAAGACAAATCAAATTAAATTTAGAGGTTGCTCATGCATCTCAAAATTATATAAAAATGTGATAATTCATTATTTCGAAACCAAATACAAATATAACTGGAAAAGTATCAAAAGTTGGTTACTTACTTAATTCAAAACATAGATATTAGATATTTTAAAATGCATTATTATTATTAAATATTCTATGGCCACCATATTTGTTGTCAGCAAAAAGTAAAATAGGGTAAATATCTGCATAATTTAACTGTGTCGATTTACTAGTAATTTGAGGTGATTTTTAAATACCGGTACTGTAAATATTTAACTACGTATAAAATGGCTTCTAATTCAAACTGTGGTGCTCTTACAACACGCAGCATGACTAACATATGGCTGATTGGACAGTTACAAAGTGAACTTCCAGTAAATGTATTGCCTACAACAGGTGATGTCCTGGGAATGTTTTTTATTATCATCAAGTAGAAAAGAAAACTGTGCCTGAAAGTGCAAAATTGTCGTCAGATAAGGTCATGGACATGTGGAACAAGGCTAGAATACCAACAACCTACCATACTCATGTTGTAAAAAAAGTAAAGTCGGTAGTTGATGACTACAAGCTAATAAAAAAGAACAAAAACCGACAAAGTGAAGCACAGCGAGCACGAGAGAAGGAATTTGAAGAAAAGGAGCACATGCTGTTTGATATTGCTCACCAACACGCCATGCAGCTCATCCGAATTCAGGAAGATATAGAATTTCTTTAAGACCAGAGGGGCAGTCAACGAATGCAAATGAGTGGCATTGGTAAAGACCTGACCAAGAAAGAAGAGCGCACAGAACAACGTAAATGCAAAGAAGAAGAGAGAAAAGAGCGAGAGCAGGAGCGGATGACAGAAAGTACCTTACTACATTTATCTAGTTCTGATGACAGTGATAGTGAACAGCAGGACACAGAGGACAACTATGAAATTGAAATTCCAGTGTACTACAAAAAGCAGATCAGTGAAGTAGAAGACAGTCTGTCAAGCAGTGCCAGCAAAAAAACACGAACTGTGCAGGATATGTTGTCGTCGCCAGATGTTGCTTCAGCACTGGATAGAATAAACCTGTCAGATAGAAAGTTCACAGTATTAGCAGCAGCCATTGCACAAGCTAGTGGGCAAGACATCAGGGATACATCTCTGTCACGAATGTTCATCGTAAACGACAGCAACATCGATCAACCATTGACAGCAGTATTCGTCAACAATTTCAGGATCGTGACAGAAACCCCCTTCTGGTTCACTGGGATGGGAAGA